CTCTGCCACTTACCTACTATGAGACCTTAAGAACTTCTTCCTCCCTGAGCCTGCTGCCTTGTTCATAAAGCGAGGGCACTGGATGAGAACAAAGATTTAAAACCTTTTTCTTAGCAGCAAAATCTCTTGTTCAAAAAAATCTTACATACTCCTGGCCGGGCGCGGTGGCTCAAGCCTGTAATCCCAGCACTTTGGGAGGCCGAGGCGGGCGGATCACGAGGTCAGGAGATCGAGACCATCCTGGCTAACATGGTGAAACCCCGTCTCTACTAAAAAATACAAAAAAAAAAAAGGGCGAGGTGGCGGCGCCTGTAGTCCCAGCTACTCGGAGGCTGAGGCAGGAGAATGGCGTGAACCTGGGAGGCGGAGCTTGCAGTGAGCCGAGATCGCGCCACTGCACTCCAGCCTGGGTGACACAGCGCGAGACTCCGTCTCAAAAAAAAAAAAATCTTACATACTCCTATCGTATGGTTGAATAGGGATGTAGGAGCCAGGAGAGGTGGCTCACGCTTATAATCCTACCACTTTGGAAGTCTGAGACCAACGGATCACTTGAGGTCAGAAGTTTGAGACCAGACCGGCCAACATGGTGAAACCCCCTTTCTACTAAAAATACAAAAATTAGCCGAGAGTAGTGGTGCATGCCTGTAATCCCAGCTATTATGGAGGCTGAGGTAGAAGAATGACTTGAACCTGGGAAGCAGAGGCTGCAGTGAGCCAAGATTGCATCACTGCACTCTAGTCTGGGCCACACAGTGAGACTCTGTCTCAAAAAAAAAAAAAGAAAAATAGGAATGTAGGACTCACCAACTAGACCATTCCCAACCTCCTGTGCGAGGCCCTTCTCCTTGAGTGAGAAAATACTGAATGAGCTGATGTCTGAGGATGCTTTGAACCCTTCCATTTTAGAAATCAATACACACTTCCAGGAACTGGAGGATTTAGTTTGGGAAAGCAAAGGTTCCTTGCACTGCAGCTGGCTCACTGTGACCTTGCTTAAGTGCCTTGTCCACTCTAGACCTCAGTTTTCCCATCTAGAAACTAGAAGCACTGAACCTGGTTGTCCAAGTCCTTCCAGCTTTGACACTAGTCCTCTGCCCTGGTAAGGTTGTGGGAACAGACCCAGGGAGGAGTGTATGGGGGCAAGGGGTCAGAGACAGCAAGAATAAGGTGATTTTTCGGAAATTCTACTCAGGGACAATCCAAGAAGCAACTCAGGTAGGACTGAGGCTTGTGCGAGGCAATAAGACCCCAGATCTGAAACCAGTTAAAGAGGTCATGGCCATAATTTCCGTGTTAGAAAGAAAAGGAGGAGAACTAGGGGATTGTATTATGTGGGATTGTATTGTGTTGGATAGAGAGAAGGGTGGATGGATGGGTAGATGGACAAATGAATGGATTAGTAGATGAACAGATGGATAAATGGACAGATGGATGGAAGCTTGGGTGGACATATGGATGGATGGATGGATGGATGGATGGATGGATGGATGGATGGATGGACAGCTGAATGAAAATTTGGGTAGAAGAATGGATAGACAGATGAATGGAAGGTTGGGTGGATGAGTAGATGAATGGAAGGTTGAGCGGACAGATGGCTGAATGAATGGGTGGATGGATAGATAAATGGACAATGAATGGATGGACAGGTAGGTAGCTGGAGGAAAGGATGGAGAATGTTTAGGGAAGTGGTTTGGTGGAGAGAGAGGGTACATATATTTGGCAGGTGGGAAGATGCTCAGATAGATGGACAGGCAGATGGGTAAGTAGATGGGTTTGTGGATGGGCAGGCAGATAAACAGAAAGGTTCGTGGGTGTATGGGCAGGCAGGAGTATGCCCAGGTAGTTGGATGGATGGTGAGTGGATGAGTAGGTTTTACAATGTAAGGGGAGTGAGAGGACAAAACTTGATTGATTGATTGACTTATTTGGTTTTCTTAGCCATCTACCTCATTTCCTCTTCCATATCCTGCTCCCATTCAGCCAGATACCTGAAAAGTTTACAGCAAGTTTCTCTATGTATGGAAATTGTACCACTTACAAGTTTACTTGGCCTAGCCCAGTGGCTCACGCCTGTAATCTCAGCACTCTGGGAGGCCGAGGAGGGCGGCTCACTTGAGGTCAGGAGTTTGAGACCAGCCTGGCCCTAAAATAAAATAAAAAGCCAGCCTGTTGGTTTGCCATCATTCATCCTTAAAAAAAAATCCCCTAACCCTTGTTTTAATTTTAATTTTTTTTGAAATGGAGTCTCCTCTGTCTCACAGAGCTGGCGATTTCCGGCCAAAAAAAAAGAAAAAAAAAAAAAACAAAAAAAAAAAAAAAAAAAAAAAAAACAAACAAAAACAAACCGACACAAAAAAAAAACAAAACACACAACCAAACAAACACAGACAGACCAAAAAAAAGGCCAGGAAAAGCACAACAAGAAAAACAAAACGAAAAAACAACAGAAAAAAAAAAAAAAAAAAGCACAAAAAAAAAAAAAAAGATAGGAGCAAATATATATATATTATAGATATACAAATAACAACCAAAATCCAACAATAAGAAAAACAATACAGCACACAATACAACAAAGAGTTCATATACAAAGGAGGAATATAACCAAACAAGCAAATACAAACCACAAACAAAAACATCAATACAAACCACACATATACCACGAAGTACTGGGAAATAATAAAAAAAAAAAAAAAAAGCATAGACACAAATAAAGCCAATAGGCATATATTATAATACAACCACATATATATATATTAGAGAAGAACATTCATATATACAACAAGGCAACATGATCTGACGGCACAGACCAACAACCAAGCCTAAGGCATCCTATATCTATGACTCCTGGACCTCAGGGATCTGCTCCGCCTTGCCCTCCAAGATGCGGGAATTACAGGGTCGAGCCACCGCACCTGCCTTAATTTCTCGAAGGGTTTATAGAAAAGTTTGAAAATTGTCTATAATATGAACATTTGTTTTATTAATTTTATTGAATTCCCCTTTTCATGTTCTATGAGGCGGAAGTTGAAACAAAACACATTGGTTTTTTTTCTTTTTGTTCTTGTTTTTTTTTTTTTGAGATGGGGAGTCTCCACTCTGTCCTCCCAGACTGGATGTCAGGGTGGGGTTGGTGATCTTGGCTCATGCAGCCTTCCCCCTCTGGGTTTTCAACTGCCAATTTTCCTGTGCCTTTAGCCTTCTGCCGCAAGGTAACTGGGATTACACCACGGAAGCTCACCACCCCGCCGCACACCGCCGCGGCATGGCTAATTGTTTTTTTTGGGATTTTTAAGTAGAGATGGAGTTGGCAAACCTATGTGACGAGCCTGGGCTCTCCCCGGACTCGTGACCTGAGGCAATCCACCAGCCTTGGCCGTCCCGCCAAAGTACTGCGGACATAACCAGGGCATCGAGCCAAGCCGCCTCCCTGGCCCTTTTTCTTCTGTTTTTTTTTTTTTTTTCTTTTTTTGAAAGCCGCGAAGCTCTCCGGCTCCTGCCCGTCCAGGTTTCGGGAGTGCATGGCCGGATCGTCTCCAGCTCACTTCAAGCCTGCCGCCTCTGCGGTTCACCCAATTCTCCCCGTCCTCGCCTCCCCGGACGTAGCGGGACTGGACAGGCGCCGCCAACCCCTCGCCCCGGCGCTTAGTTTTTTTGTATTTTTTAGTGCGAGGACGGGGTTCACGCGGTTAGCCACCAGGGATGGTCCTCGATCTCCTTGACCCGTCCGTGATCCGCCGTCTTCGGCCTCAAAGTCGCCTGGGAATTACCAAGGCTTGAGCCCACCCTGCGAGGGCGGGCCCGGCCGGCTTTTCTGTCTGTTGACAGAGGTCCTTGCATCTGTTTGGCCCGCCAGGCTGGAAGGTGCAGTGCGATGCATCCTTGGCATCCGCGTAACCCCCACCTCTGGGGTCTCAGCTTCTCCGTCCCCTACCTCAAGCGTCCGAATAGTGGGACTCACAGGCCATGCCCGCACCATGCCTGGGCTAAATTTTTTTGAGTTTTTTGTAAGAGATTGGGGTTTTCGCCATGCTTGGCCCAGGCTTGGATACTTGAACTTCATGAATTTAAGTAACTGCTGTCGCATCGACGCTCGGCCTTTCCTGAAACTGGCTGGGATCACCAGGTTGGGCGAAACCCACCGCACTGGCCATTTTTCTTTTTTTTTCTTGAGATGGAAGTCTTTTGCTCTGTCACCCCCAGGCTTGCGGGAGGTGCACGTGCGGCATGATCTCGGCTCACCTGCACCTGCACCTCCCGGGGTTCAAGTGACTTCTCCCGTCCCTGCCTTCGCCTCCTCGAGGTAGCCTGGGACCTACAGGCGTCGACCCGGCAACACCCCCAGCCTTTATTTTTTTCCTATATTTTAGTAGAGAAGAAGGCTTTTCAAACCCGTGTTAGCCAGTGGACACGTCTTGATCTCCTGACCTTGTGAATCTGTCCACCCTTGGCCCTCCCAAAGTGCCTGGGAATTACACGGTGTGACCACCGCCCTGGCCCCATCTTTTCGTTTTTTTTTTTTAAATTTAAGTTAGTTTTGTCCCTGTTTACCATTGCTCCTATTCCGGCAGCACCTAAACAGTGGCCCCGGCACCTAACAGGCAGGCAGTTATGGTAAAACTGTGCCAAATGAGTGGAATGAGGACATGAAGTCCCTAGTCCCTTCACCACCCCCTC